AAGTAAAATATCATAATGAAACGTGAAAAGACCTAGACTTAGAAAACCAAAAAGGAAAAACGCACTCGGCTTGTCTTAAACTGAAAGGACTCAAGAAAACAGTTTGAACCTCAAGTTGAAATATTGAGAAGTTCTATAGGCAAACTATTGAATGATGCAGGAACTATCAAAAGGAGATAGAAAAATAGTCACTGTGCCAAAAAGAAAGAACTCGTTGACATCCCACCATGTCAAGAGGTAACATGAGTTACCAATTGTACTGAATGAAGATGTTCAAGCTGCACGCAAAGCATTAGCCAGTGCTCATGGCATTGCCTTGGCAAATCTGCTGCAGAAGACCTCTTTAAAGTGTCGAAAGGCAAGAATATTACCTTGAGGACTAATGTACACCTGACTCAAGCTCTTGTATTTTCAATCACCTTATATGCACGTGAAGGTCTGACAGTGATAAGAACGACCAAAGAAAAGTCTATCTGACTTTTGAACTATGGTGTTGGAAAAGAATATTGAAAGTACCACGGACACCAGAAGAACAAACAAATCTCTCTGGGAAGGAGTATAGCCAGAGTGTGCCTCAGAGGCAATGATGCTAAGACTTCATCTCACATATTTGGGGCATGCTATCAGGAGAGATCAGTCCCTTGAGAGGCAATGATGCTAAGACTTCATCTCACGTACTTGGAACATGCTATCAGGAGAGACCAGTCCCTGAAGCAGAACATCATGATTGGTAAGGAGAGGCAGCAAGATGAACTGCACACAGTGTCTGAGGCCATGGGCTTGAGCTTGAGGACAGCAGGGTTTTGTTGTGTTGCACACAGAATGGCTATGAGTCAGAACTGGCTCAGCAACACCTAACAACAGCAACAAACATATGGGACAATAGTTGGTCCTTAGGACTTTTATGGCCTGGTTTTTAGAAGTAGATCACCAGGTGTTTCTTCTTCGTTTTAGTCTGGAAACTACTGAAACCTGTCCACCATGGGCTAGCCTGCTGGTATTTTGAACATTGTCCAACACACTTGCTTTTGACATGTTATCAGAGAGATCAATTGCTGGAGAAGGAAATTTGGACATTAGGACCAGGTAACAGTTTGGTCTGTTGTACACAATGTTGTCTCCATGGCAGTTTATCTATCTATCTATCTATCTATCTATCTATCTATCTATCTATCTTTTAGTTATCTATTCTCCAGAAGCCAGAGTGCATTTCTTTCACTAAGGTCATAAGGAGTTCACTGGCGAGGGAGTATCAGGGATGAAGGTGGCTTTCACTAAGGGACACAGATCCACTGAACCTGACTCTAAATTAGCATCTGAATACTTTGGGTTTCTTAGGCTGATGGATCAAGATGTCAGGAATGGAGTAACTATACTTGTGGACTGGTGAAGAGAGTTGATTATCATAAGGAGCTAGAGATGCTGCTGCATAACGGGATCAAAGAGGAATATGTCTGAAAGTCATGGGAGCTCCTGAGGTGTGTCATGATGCTCCCAATGCCCAGTGATAAGGGTCAACAGCTGTTGTGGCACCCAAGGACAAAGACCCTTCAGGTTTGGATTACTCCACTGGGCAAGCTTCTTAGATCAGTTCAAGTGTTGTCTGAAGGTGAGAGAAACCTGGAATGAGGTGACAGAAAAGGGAGATGGTTAATTTCAACATGACATTGGAACCAATCATAGTGGTGTATTGGTAGATTGTTCCACACATCTTTATATATTAAGTCTTTTGTAGACATTGCAGCCAGCTACCACATCGAAAGGTCAGGGACAGCTTGGAATTAAAGTGGATCTGAGCAGTGCAAGGGGTGGACTGTATGAGGCACTTCTGTTGCCTCCATCACATTCATACCTGACTTCAATCTCAATAATGAGTGGTTCTATGTGAAGTCAGATTCATCTGCCGAGCCTTGAGTGTGATCTGAGCATCTTTTCACTTTCTGTCCCATAGACGCTAAATGCTACAGGAGCCTGCTCTGACCATGCACCCAGAAGGGCAGAGTTAACACCAGGCGAGACCAGAATTGACCACTGGAGACCAGAGGCAACTGGAAAAAGGTTGAGGACAATGATGTTATTGTTTTGTTCATGGAAGAACATAGAACGGTGCCTGGCAAGGGGTAGGTACTCCCTGTCTTCCAGAGGGAGGATTCTGGGAGCTCTCTTGTGCACTTTTCAGAGATCCTGGGGAACCCGAAGTCCCAGTTGCCCATAGCAATGACAGCACACTCTTACATTGGTAGGGGTTTTCATTTGCTTCCTTTTTCCCTTTCATTTCTTGTTGTCCCTTTTCTCGCATAGCTCTTCTTAGAACATTTCTCAAAAAGTCTAGGTGCACACAAGCCCTTGTCTCATTCTGTTTGCAAAGGAACTCAAATAAAAACACCTTCTCTCCTTGTTTCCCTAGCTAGCCAGAAGCAGACGAATCCTTTGAAAGCACCTCTGAGAAGGTCTCTCATTAGCTCAAAATCTTCCCATGACGTCCACTTCGCCCAGAAGAAAAACCAAAGTCCTTAGAATGGTCAATAAGCCTGGCATGATTGGTTCTTCCCACTGTTTCCTCTCTGACGTCCTCTCTGGCTAATCTCCCCTTTGCTCCATTGTAACTACACTGTTCTCCTAAAGAAAGGTCCCTGGGGGACATGAACCAATTCTGCTTGACTAAACCGAAACAGGAGAAAGATGAAGCTTTCTATCCCCGTGAAGAGTCAGAGTCTCGTAAACCCACAGGGGCAGTTCTACCCTGTGCTGTAGGGTCGCTAGGAGTCAGAATTCACTCGAGGGCAGTGAGTTTGGTTTGGAATAACTGAAAAGTTGGCAGTTCAAGCCCACCCAGTGACATCAAGGAAGAAACACCTGGGAATCTGCGTCTGTAAATATTACAGTCTAGAAAATCCGATGGGACTTAGTTCTTCTCGACATGGGTTGCCAGGAGTTGGAATTGACTTGACTTGTTCCTTTGGTTGGTCAGTTGGTTCTTCCAGGACATTCAGCCTATTTCTGCCTCAGGGACTTTGCACTGGCTACTGTCATTGCCTAGAATGATCTTCCTCCAGTATCTCCAAGTTTGCTCCCTGGTCTCCTTTAGGATTCTTCCTAAAACATTTCCCAGAGAGGCCTTCTCTGGCGCTCCTATGCAAAACAATGGCGCCTTCCTCTCTGTTGTTCCTTGAGCCCCTTAACCCAAACCAAAGTCACTGCTATCCATGTTGACTCAGAGAAACCCCCCTGTGGATTCCAAAACCGCCCAGTCTCTCTCCCGCAGAACTGCTAGTGCTTCAAAACGGCCGACCCTGTTGATCACAGCCCAACAAGTAACCACTAGGCCACCAGGGCACCCCTACCCTACTTAAGTTTTTGGAGCACTTTACCCCAATCTCCTATTTGGTCTGATTTATTTTTTTCTGGTGTATTCTCTGTCTCCCCCAGATTGATAGTAAGGTTGAGGACAAGGATTTTATTGTTTTGTTCATGGAAGAACATAGAACTGTGCCTGGCAAGGGGTAGGTACTCAGTCAGCGTCTGTTGGCTGCAACAAGGTAAATGACGACCTTTGAGGTGAAGATGGCTATATGGACCCGACTGCGGAGCCCTTGAATTCTAGGCTCCTGAGTCTGAAGTGGGGTAGGGGTGGGAGTGGGTCCTGGCTGCTGTTAGATGGGGTGACCACAGTGGCTGCAGCGGGAGGTCACCGCAGAGAAACATGTGCCTTCTACAGATGGTCCTGGTTGCTGACGCTCTTTTGGGGCTTACCACCAGCTGTGGTCGTCGAGTTGACTCGGACTCTTGTCAACCCCAGGGGTGTCCGAGTACAGCTGTGCTCCACAGAGTTCTCACAGCTGGGATCTTCTGGCAGCAGATCACTACATCTTTCTTTGGAGGCTGAGTAGGCACGAATCACCAACTATCCTGTTAGTAGTCGCTTAATCATTTGCACCACCCAGGGACGCTTTGTGAGCGTATGACCTTGCAATGTGTCTCAAGGAGGCCCAGGCAAAGCCTCAAGGAGCTCAGAGCATTCAAAATAGAAAGCCTCTGGTCCATGCTGACCCTGGTGGCACAGGGGGCTAAGCATCCCAGGCTAACTGAAAGGTCAGTGGTCTGGGTCCACTAGCCCCTCTGGGAGAAAGAGGCAACAGTCTTCATCCCTAAAGACTTGCGGCCTTGGAAACCTTAGTGGGCAGTTCTCGGACTTCCATGGTCACTGTGAGTCGGAATCCACGAGGGCAGTGGGTTTGATTTGGGCTCTGTCCCTGAGGACCCAGTCCTGGACCTCAGTCAACTGTTGAGTCACCACGAAGGCTCTCAGCAGCCCAGCAGAGTCCCAGGGACCCCAAGGCTTGAGTATGAGTGGAGTATGAATATGAGTATAGCTCGGGTATGAGTGGAGGGCAGGCCGGCTGTTGGGAAACCTTTTATTCCCACGCCTTGGGAGTCACCTCTACCCTTGCCACGTGGCCAGCCACCCAAGCCTGGGGTATAGGGGCTAGGGCCGGCTGGGCAGCCCGTGGCTTTACCCTGATTCCTTTGCGGAGAGAGCACGATCCCCATGGAAAGGAAGTAGCACCTTCAATGCCGCCCCCACCCCCTGCCCATCAGACCCAGGGCCCTGCAGGAAGGGGATGCCACCACCACCCCACGCCTGGCGCCCCTCCCCTCCCCCGGGGCTCTGGCGGGCTCTGCAGGCAGACGGAGTGGGCGCTGCAGGCCGGGCCCGAAGAGGTTAACGTGCATCTGCCGCGGAATGGTAATGTGGCTCTAGGTGATGTCAGTGGGAGCCGCGAAGGAGGCGGCGAGGAGCCCAGCGCCCCGGCTGGGGCTGGGAGGCGGCGAGGCTGCCGTGGCCGGCCGGTCGGCCGGGAGAACCCCTTTCGGACTGCAGGGCTCGGCTCGGGCTCGGGCTCGGGCTCGGGCGGGACGCGGTGGCTGGGGGCGGCGGGCGGCGGGCGGCGGAGCTGCCGCAGCCTGCGGGGGTGCCTGGGAGCGCCCCGCGGCGAGCGGGCACGGGCCCCGGAGGACCATGGACCTGGACACCTCGCTGCTGCCCACCGGTCGCAATACCAGCAACGCCTCCTCCTCGGGCCCAGACAACCTCACCTCGGGCGGTGAGCCCTCCCTGGGACCGGGGGCTCCGGGTGGGGGGAAGCGGGACGCGTTGGCACCTGAGCCAAACTGCTGGGGAAACTTTATCACAGTTGGTGGGCACCTGCTCTGCAGTCTGCCTTGGCTTGAGGGGGAGGGGAGCAGGGGCAGGAGGGACATGGGCACAGCCAGGAGTGGACAGGGACGGTGGCCAGCGCCAGAGGGGACGAGTTCCAAAGCTGCTTGGCAGGGGGAAATCCTGCTGGGAGAACTGAGAGGAGAACTGGCAAAGCCTGCTGGGGAGCTCACTGGCAGTGGGGGGTTCCTGCACTGGGGCATGGGGTCTGGGTCACCCCTCCGCCCCTGGGAGGGCCCTGGAATGAATGGGGGACTACCCAGGCTGTGAGGGGACTAACTTTTCTGGTGAAGTAAGCTTCCCAACATTCCCAACTGCCCTGGGATTGTGCACTTAAGAATGGAAAGACACACACAGAGAAAGAGAGAGAGAGAGCACTCAGGCCCCTGAGGCCCCTGGGAAGCCTTGGCACAGGAGAGGCCAAGGGCATAAACCCCCAAGAAAGGGTCTGGTGGGACACAGGATGGGCCCAAGCTCCTCCAAGCAGAGAGGCCACAGCTTCCAGGCAGCGATGCCTAAAGGAATCAGGGCTACACAGAAGGACTGGGAAGAAGTACTTCTTGGCTGGAGGTCGAGTAATTGTCTGCAGACAGCTGTGGTTCCTGCCTCTGGGTTTTCAGAGACTGTGCGGGAGGCAAAGGACTGGGCCCTTGAACTAACAGGTGGTTCAGGGAGCTGGGAGGGTTGATGGGGGAGAGGTAAAGGAGGAGATAGGCCAGTGTGGAGCAGGCTGTGGGAAGCCAGCACAGTGTGTGTGTGTGTGGTGGTGGGGGGGGGGTAGGGGGGAGGACGTGAAAAGATGGAGAAATAAGCAAGTACGTC